AGGATATTACTATATACATTATCATCAGCAAATAGCTTCTCATTTTATGTCAATTAAGCATATTTTTACCCATTTTTTTTCCTTCTCCTCTCTCCTCCCTCCCTTTCACTAAACTATTTTTTTTTTTTAATATTTTATCGATTAACAAAAGATCTTAAAGTATGGACAAAGCTAGAATCAAGTGACAAATGCACTGTAATTTTCTTCTGAAACATTTTTTTTTCTCTCTATCTCCCCCTTTACTATAGAGAAGTATAAACTAACTTATTTGCAAACAAAGAAAAAAATAGGTTTATCTCACTTTGGTCTATTATTTGCACAAAGTCCCATAAGAATTCAATTTTCTGATGCAAGGCAATGGGTACTATTGTATTATTGAACGGCAACAGGTACTGTTATATTGCTGAACTTATGCAAATAACCATTTTGCCACAAATTAAGAATGCTCATAAATATTTTCTATTTCAAAGGGGTCTGGAAGGGAGAAAAATTTGTTTCAGTTAAAAAATTCTTTAACAAATTGCTGAACCCAACAATGCAAAAGAAAACCAAAATCCTGGGACCAGCAGTTAGCGTAATGGCTATGTCGCTGGACTCCCATGTAGTCGACCGCGGTTCACGTCATGGACCCGATGACTTAAAACTCACACTGGGCGCGTGTGAGTGCGTGCCCAAGATCCCGAGAGGAGAATGGAGGAGAAGGGATTGCAGTATGGCCATCTCCTCTGGGGGGTAATTTTTCACTTTATCTCTCTGTCTCTGTCTTTCTGGCGAGCACACGCGCCCTATAGCAAAAAAAAACAAAAACAAAAACAAAAAAACAAACAAACAAACAAAAAAAACCTCTCCAAAAAAGAAAAGAAAAAAATAAAAAAAAAGAAAACCAAAATCCTTAAATCTAGAAGACAAAGCATAGCAGAAAATCAGTAATGTTTTAGAAAAAAAAAGTCATAGAATTCTATTTTCCCAGTTCAGTCTCACATAATCTCTTTTGTTGAATTTTCAATGTTACTGTGGTCTGACCTTTCCATTAACATTCAACATTATTATTGATATTTCAGAACTTTTACTATTATTAAGTTGGCCTTTCTCTTGGTCAGTTTTAGTTCTCTTATTTGTCTGTCTTTAGTTTTCCTGGTATAGTACTCCCTTCAGAACTTCCCAAAGAGCTGGTCTGGTATTGGTAAATTCCTTTATATATTTATTTTTTTTTTTGGAGAGATTTTTTGCTATAGGGCGCGTGCGCTCGCCAGACCGACAGAGAGAGACATAGAGACAGAAAGCGAGAAATCACCCCTCAGGGGGGATGGTCACACCACAATCCCTTCTCCTCCATTCTCCTCTCGGGATCTTGGGCACGCACGCACGCACGCACACACACCCGGCGTGAGTTTTAAGCCACCGGGTCCGGGACGCAAACCACGGTCGACTACATGGGAGTCCAGCGACATAGCCATTACGCTAACTGCTGGTTCCCTGGTAAATTCCGTTTTATTTATATGAGAATGTTTTTGTCTTTTCTTTCCACATACAGTATAATCTTCCCAGATACAGCATTTTTGGCTAAATTTTATAAAATAATTTTTTAAGAATTATTTTATTTAACTTTATTTTTTATTTTGACCAGAGAGGGACAGAGAGAGAAAGAAAGAAAGCCGCCAGGTCTGAGACTGTGGTTGGCCATGTGGGAGTCCAGTGTCCTTAACCACCATGCTACCTGCCTGAAATTGTTTTTTACTTAACGCTTTGAATACATTTTCCCATTCTTTCCTTGCTTGCATTGTTTCCAACAAGAGGTCTGATGTTAGCCTGATGGGACATCCTTTGAAAGCAACTTGATGTTTTTCTCTTGCCAATTTTAGTATCTTATCTCTGTCTGTGGTTTTGTTCAATCTGGCTATGATGTGCCTTGGAGAAGATCTTCTTGGGTTGATTCTATGTCTGGTCCTTTGTATATCTTGAGTCTGGTTATTTGAAGGCCTCTCTAGGTTTGGAAAGTTTTCTTGCAGGACTTCATGGAATAGATTTTCAATGTCCTGATTAGTTTCTTCACCTTCTGGAATACTGACTATCCAGATATTTTTGTGTCTAATGGTATCTAGTATTACTCGTATACTATTCTCATTTTTGGAAGGTTATTTTCTCAGTCTTTTTGGTGAATTTTTCTAGGTCAGAGGTTCTATTTTCTACATCTGAGATTCTATCTTCTCTGCATGATCTAATCTGCTTTCAATACTTTCAAGGGAGGTTTTTATTTCCTGTATCACAGCCTTCATCTCTAACAATTCTGTCTGATTCTTTTTTATGGTGTGTATTTCTTCTTTCAGATTGTGGAGGAACATCCTTACCTCCTGGAACTCTGTCTCTTTCCTCCTGCATCTTCTGGAGTTCGTTGTCTCTCTCCTCTTGCATCTCTGTTAGCTTTGTCACTATGAATAGCCTAAAATCTTTATCTGACATTTCCAGGAGTTCCATCTGTGGATGATAAAGGGGTGTTCTTTCCCCTTCATCTCCCTTGGGGGAGATATATTTTCTTGATTTTCCATATTTCTTGTGCCTCTGCAGTGGTGGTTTCTGGTCATCTGATGGATTATATGTTACTTCCTACCTGGCTTTTTGCTGGGTGTTGGGCCAGAAGGAGGGGTTTGGGGCAGAGGCTTTTTCCAGTTAAAGGAGCAGGGAAAGTTCACCTCTGATGCACATTCGATTCTGGCATTTCACTGAGTGTTGGGCTGGTAAGAGGGGTCAAATAAATAAATCTTTAAAAAAATAAAAAAAGCAAGGATGTAAATTAGACAAAGTCAGTGGAGATAACTTTGCTGATTTTTTTTTTGGGGGGGGGAGATTTTTGCTATAGGGTTCATGCGCTCACCAGAAAGAGAGAGTCAGACAGACAAACAGAAAGCGAGAAATCACCCACCGGGGGGATGGTCATGCCACAATCCCTTCTCCTCCAGTCTCCTCTCAAGATCTTGGGAACGCATGCATGCACGGTGTGAATTTAACCTACCAGGTCCAGGACTCAAACTGCAGTCAACTACATGGGAGTCCAGTGACAGCTATTATTCCAACTGCTAGTCCCTTACTGATTTTTTAAAATAGTTATTTAGTTTTATTTATTCATTTATTTATTTTAATTTGACCAGAGAGAGAGAGAAAGTAAAAAAGCAAGCTATGAGGTCCAGGATGCGAACCATGGTCAGCCATGTGGGAGTGTCCAGCATCTTAACCACCATGTCACCTGCTGGTCCCAATTTTACTGACTTTTAACATGTTACCTGACAGATGAAAGGAACCCAATTTTGTCATAGGGTGGGTGCCACCATGCCTAGAAACCCAACTTTGTGAACCCAAGTCAGGATTCCTGGGAAATTTAATAGTCAGTGAAAAGCTGTAGGAAATAGGAAGTTTGGTACCAGCAGATGATGTAATGGTTACGTTGCTGGACTCCCACATGGCTGACCACAGTTCAAGTCGTGGACCCAGCAGATTAAAACTCATGCTGGGCACACATACGTGTGTGCCCAAAATCCCAAGAGAAGAATGGAAGAAAAAGGATTGCAGCATGGCCATTGCCCCTTGGGGATCATTTCTCACTTTCTGTCTCTCTCTCTCTCTCTGTGTATCTCCAGTGAGCACACACACCCTATAACAAAAATCTCTCTTAAAAAGAAATGGAAATATCGTGAGATACTCTAGAAGTTGAAGGAGAGAAACATAGTAAGGACACAGGTAGCAAAGGGGATAGTGGCTTGAGCTGACCATGTTACTCAGGATAAAGGGTTGTTACCTCCTAATGAAAAAGATAAATCATTTAAAAATGTAAGTAGGGAGGGACCATCAGGTGGCAAGGTAGTTAAGCCACTGGACACTGTCGGAAATATCGTGAGATACTCTAGAAGTTGAAGGAGAGAAACATAGTAAGGACACAGGTAGCAAAGGGGATAGTGGCTTGAGCTGACCATGTTACTCAGGATAAAGGGTTGTTACCTCCTAATGAAAAAGATAAATCATTTAAAAATGTAAGTAGGGAGGGACCATCAGGTGGCAAGGTAGTTAAGCCACTGGACACTGTCACATGGCTGCCCACAGTTTGAGTCCCAGACCTGGTGGATTGCTTTGCTCTCTCTCTCTTGCTCGCTTGCTCTCTCTCTCTCTCTTGCTCTCTCTCTCTCTCTCTCTCTCTCTCTGTATGTGTGTGTGTGTATGGTCAAATTGAAATAAATGAATAAATAAAAATTAAATAAAAAATAATTCTTAAAAAAAATTTAAGTAGGGGAACCAACTGATAACTTAATGATTATGTCACTGGACTCCCACATAGTCAACTACAGTTCAAGTCCTGGAATTGGTGGCTTAAAAAAAATTCACACCAGGTACGTGCACATGTGTGCCCAAAATCCCAAGCACATAATGGAGGAAAAGGGATTGGGTGTGGCCATCCCCCATGGGGGGTGATTTCTCTCTTTCTGTTTATCTGTCTCTTCAGAAGTATACACACTGTATAGCAAAAAATTTCTCAAAAAAAATTAAGTAGGGGGACCAGCAGTTGGAGTAATGGCTATGTCGCTGGACTCCCAAGTGGTTGCGTGTTTTGAGTCTCAGATCTGGTGGCTTAAAGTCACGCTGGGCACGTGTGCATGTGTGCCCAAGATCTCGAGAGGAGAATGGAAGAGAAGGGATTGTGGTGTGGCCATCTCCCCTGGGGGGCGATTTTTCACCTTCTGTCTCTCTGTCTTTCTGGTAAGCACACATGCCCTGTAGCAGAAAACCTCTCCAAAAACCAAAAATTTAAATAAAGATTTTTCAGACTTTAGTCTGTTTCCAAATAATCATCACTTTCTTTATTTCTTTTAGATTTTTTTCAAGTTGTATTATTATGTTAGGCTATTTACTTCTACTAGGCTTTTTTTCCCTGTAATAAAGTTTTTATTTATTTATTTCTAAAATAGGAAAATATATGTTTTTTTTGTTTTGTTTTGTTTTGTTTTGTTTTTTAGATTTGGAATCCAAGTATGACACTAAAAAGTTATTTCAAGAAAAAGATATTTATGAAATGAATTTATCTCAGTGGGAGATAATGGAAAGAATTAAAAATCATGACCTTGAGGACTCCTTTTTCAGAAAAGATTATGAATATAAAAAGTTTGAGAACCAAGGTTTTCCTGAGGCATTGTTTAGGCAAGTGAAAAAAGCAACTCCTGAAAAAATGCCCATTTATAGAAAACTTACTTCTCTTGCACTGTATCAGAAAAATCATAACAGAGAAAAACCCTATGAATGTGGGGAATGTGGGAAGGCTTTTAGAGTACGCCAACAACTTACTTTTCATCAAAGAATTCATACTGGTGAGAAACCCTACGAATGTAAAGAATGCGGAAAAACCTTTAGACAATGTGCCCACCTTAGTCGACATCAAAGAATTCATACTTCTGACAAACTCTATGAATGTAAAAAATGTGGAAATATCTTTACATGTGGCTCAGACCTTCGAGTACATCAGAGAGTTCATGTTGGTGAGAAGCCCTATGAATGTAAGGAATGTGGGAAAGCCTTTAGAGTTCGAGGACAACTTAATCTCCATCAGAGGATTCATACTGGTGAGAAACCCTATGACTGTAAGGAATGCGGGAAGGCGTTTAGACAGTATGCACACCTTACTCGACATCAGAGACTTAACATTGCTGAGAAGTGCTATGAGTGTAAGGAATGTGGTCAGGCTTTTCTTTGTAGCACAGGCCTTCGAATACATCACAAACTTCATACTGGTGAAAAACCCTACGAATGTAAGGATTGCGGAAAGGCCTTTAGAGTTAGGCAACAACTAACTCTCCATCAGAGAATTCATACTGGTGAGAAGCCCTATGATTGTAAGGAATGTGGGAAGACATTTAGTCGCGGCTATCATCTGACTCTCCATCAGAGAATTCATACTGGTGAGAAACCTTATGAATGTAAGCAGTGTCAGAAGTTCTTTCGTCGTTACTCAGAACTTATTTCACATCAAGGTATTCATATTGGAGAGAAACCTTATGAATGTAAGGAGTGTGGGAAGGCCTTTAGACTATTCTCACAGCTTACCCAGCATCAAAGTATTCATTTTGGTGAGAAACCTTATAAATGTAAGGAATGTGAGAAGACTTTCAGACTGCTTTCACAGCTCACTCAACATCAGAGTATTCATACTGGTGAAAAACCCTATGACTGTAAGGAATGTGGAAAAGCCTTCAGACTTCATTCATCACTTATTCAACATCAGAGAATTCATTCTGGTGAGAGACCATACAAATGTAAGGAATGTAAGAAGGCATTTAGACAACATTCACACCTTACTTACCATCAGCGAATTCATAATGTAACATAATTATAAGAATGCTTCCATTGTGAATTTTATATAAAGGAGCATTAGAAAATAATTTTTACGGGAAAAGTTTCTGAATGTAGGAATACCTTTTGCTCATTCTGAAAATAGATAAAAGGAAAGAAGTAGGGGCCGACAGGTGATGTGGTTAAAGGTGCTAGATTCCCACATAGCTGATTGCGGGTCAAGTCCTGGATCTGGCAGCTTGCTTTATCACTTCCTCTCTCTCTTACACATTAAATTAAAATATATAAAGTTAAATAAAATAATTCTTTTTTAAAAAGGAAAGAAGTAAAAAGAAAAGCCATTTTGCCTATATTTTCTGTGTGAACTGTATTTCAGGGCATCCAGTGGTTGATGAGTTAAAGCTTGTCTTTATTAGAGAATTCCAGCTAATGAATGAAGAAAGAATTTTAGTATTAGAAAATTTCCATTTTGCAACATGCAAAGGAACAACAGTTAGGCATTATTCTCAGTAGAGATTAAGACCATAAAGTAAAATGACACAAATGTAGCAAATAGATCAGGTTGACAACATCTGAACCAATTGATCAGTCTTAACCTCACAAAAAACAGGACAGTAAACATTATGTGCCTCCTACCTTGCAACCAACCGTAAGATAGGCACATCTTGTCAAACATTGAACCTGAATTTAATTAAGCCTGAAGATCTAATTCCCAAGTTTAGAGAAAATTTAGGGAATAAGAGAAAAAATATTACATCACACAACAAGAAGCAATTAATTCTAAAATATGGATACTTCTACAAGAGGGATGACCCAATTTCTCAGCCAGCAAAATGGCCTTGGAAAAATGCCAACTCTTAGATATTGAAAGATACTGAAATGGAACACTGATACATGGAAAAAGGCTTAAGATGTATCAAGAAAATGCAATGACTGGTTTTTATTTAGATTGTGAGTTGAACAAATATAAAAAAGACATTTTTATAATAGTTGGAAAAATGACAATACAGAATTAGATAATATAAAATGTTTTTGTTAGGTGTGATAATAGCATTGTGGTTATGTTAAAAAATTTGTTTTTTAGACATACATTCTGAGGTTTGTGCACATGAAATGATATGTCTGGAATGTTCTTTAAATGCTCATGAAAAGAAAAGTGAGGATGGATAACTAAAATTTGGCAAAATTATAATAATCTGAGTCTTTGGGTACATGGTTTTTGTTTGTTTTGCTATTTTTGTACTTTTGTGTATTTGAAATTTTTATAGTGTTCTTTCAAAGATAAAAATTATGCATTTAAAACCAATTTGGAGTAATTTTTTTTTAATACCTACATGTCAGAACTTGTGCATTTTGCCAAAGCTCTACATATTTGGATAGCAAATACACTATTAAATATTTGAAGATTGGGAGTCCAGATTTTATGTATTGAGTTGTCAGAAAAGTCAGGACACATTTTTGCATAGAAAAGCATGTCATGATTTTTCCGACAACCCAGTAGTTCACCCCTCTGTCTATATCCCAGTACTTGTCCCATAGTGTGCATTTCATATGTTTGAAGAGAGTGAAATAAAGCAATTATTACAGCTAAATGTGGAAATTAATGGACTAGACCTGCACTGTCTATTACAGTGGTAACTAGCAACATAGCAAATACTTGAAATTGAGCTGCTGAACACCTGAAATGGGGTTAGTCCAAATTAAAATGGTGTTAAATGTAAAATTTTGAAAATTTATCAAAAAAGAATATTATCTCAATTTTCCATATTTAGTACATGTTAAAATTTTGGATATACCGATTGAAATAAAATACATTAAAATTAATTTTACCATATTTTGTTTTTAAATGTGGCTACTGGGAAAGTTTAAATTATACTGGGCTCTCATACTTCTATTATCAGCGCTAGTATATAAACAATAAAAATGTAGATTTTAGCTAAAATAGTTCTTTTAAAAATATTAATACAGTTGGGACCAGCAGGTGGTGTGGTTAAGGGTGCTGGACTTAACCACCCACATGGCCAACTGCGGTTCAAGTCCTAGACCTGCCGGCTTGCTTTCTCATTTTCCCTCTCTCTCTCTGTCCCTCTCTGGTCAAATTAAAAATAAATAAAGTTAAATAAAGTAATTCTTTAAAAAAAAATTAAAAATATATATACTAATGCAGTAGAGACCTTAGCATTTCTGACCAAGGAATGCAAATAAGAAAGAGGAAAAAAGAAAGTGACACAATTTCAGCTATATGGATCACAAGAGTGACACTTCTGGATTTTTTAAAATGGTGACAATGATAGTTAAGGCATTGGACTCCCACATGGCTGGCAGCAGTTTGAGTCCTGGACCTGGTGCTGCTTTCTCACATTCCCTCTCTGGTGTGTGTGTATGCTCTGCAGTAAAAAAATAAATCTTAAAAAAAAAACAAGTTATCACACTCCAACAGAGGAAGTGGGTGAGAATTTGCTAAGCTTATGTGTGTTTGTGTGTTGCTTTAAGAAATGGAAACCAGGGGCTAGCAGGTGGTGTGGTGGATAAGGTACTGGATTCCCATATGGCTGACCACTGTTCAAGGCTCAGACCTAGGTGCTTGTTTTCATTTTCCCTCTCTCTCACTCTGCCTCTGTTGAGCCCTATAGCACATTAAAATAATAATAATAATTTTAAGTAGAATTTTGAAAACCTCAATAACCAAAAAAAATGTTTAAGGTTTTTGCCATAGGGCACATGCACTTTTCAGGGAGACAGGGAAAGCGGTATGGTGATTAAGGTGCCACGCCACAATCACCTCTCCATCCAGGAGATTTGGGACACACATGCACACTTGCCCACCATGATTTTCTTTTCTTTTTTTTTTTGCTATAGGGCATGTGAGCTCTCCAGAGAGACAGAGACAGAGAAAAAGTGAGAAATCATCCTACAGGTCAAGTGAACGGCCTTGCTAGATGCTAGGCTGCCTGTGGCTGCAGGGCCTAAGGGCCAGAGCAGTGGCTCGTCCCCTCCCCCACTAGCCTTTGGAATTCAGGTTTATGTCCTGGGACTTTAGGAAGAATTTGCGTCCCTCCCCACCCCATCCAGATACCTGCTCAAGCAAATGGCCTGGCCAGAGGCCAGGCTGCCAGTGGTGGCTGCAGGGCTTAATGGCCAGGACCGCGGCTTAACCTCTCCTCTACTCACTTTTGAACTCTCAGGAGCTCCATGTTTTGGATAGGGCACAGTGAGCATTGCATGTCCCACAAGCTTTTCTTTGTTCCTGAGGTGAAGCTCAGCAGCTCAGCTTCAGGTGCCCCTTTTCTTTAGAAACAGGGAGGACTTTGGGTCACCCAGGACCAGTGACAACAGTGCAGAGTGTTGGGGAGCAACAGGGAGGCAGAGTAGAAGAGAAATTACCAATTTTCTATTCCTGCACATTTTTTAAGGGATACCTTGAATAATTTAGGAAGGAACATATAGATCGCCAGATAACTAGGGACCATTGCAGAGGCACAAGAAATATGAGTAACCAACAAAATGTCTCTCACTCAAGGGAGAACATCAATTCCACATCACTCACAGACAACACAATGGAAGTTGTGGAAATGTCGGATAAGCAATTCAGAATATTTGTAGTGACCAAAAGAGACAATGAGCTCCAGGAGATGAGCAAGTTTTTTCAACATTTGAAAGAAATAGACACCATCAAAAAGAATCAGACGGAATTGTTAGGGATGAAGAACGTGATACAGGAAATTAAAACCTCCCTAGAAACTATTAAAAGTAGATTAGAATCTCGAATGTAAAAGACAAAAGTTCTGACCTAGAAAAAAGTATCAAAAAGACAGAAATCATCCCATAGGGAGGATGGCCACGCCACAATCCCTTCTCTATTCTCCTCTCAGGATTTTAGGCACATATGCACACGGCGCCTAGTGTGAGTTTTAAGTCACCAGGTCTGGGACTTGAACCATGGTTGACTACATGGGAGACAGCAACTTAACCATTACACGATTAGCTGGTCCCAGACCAGCATGATTTTTAATCCCCAGGGTCCAGGATTCATACAGCTGTCAGTCATGTGGAGTCCAACACCTTAACCACAACACCACCTGCTGCCTCCCCCCAAAATTTAAAACTCATTAGAATGACTCAATAGTAGAAGAAAATGAAATGCCACTGCATGATATTGGAACAGATAAATACTTGGGTTCAGATTCCAGTTTGACCTGAACACATGGGCTGTGGGCACCCATGATCCTGACTGGCTTGGAAGCTGAGGAACCCTTTACATTGCTGGAAGAAATGCAAATTGGTATGACCACTTTGTAAAATGTTTTGGCATATCTGTATAGCTAAATATATACTTGCTTTGTGACTTAGCTACTCTACTCTTGGATTCCAAACGAAAATAAATACTATGTCTACCAAAAGATATTAAAATGTTCAGAGCAGCTTTTTTCAAAATAGAAATAAGAATACTGGAAGCCATACCAATATCTATCAACATAGAATGAATAAAGTATGGCAAAGGTTGAAAAATTTTATTTTTTTGAAAATTATTGCTATATCCTACAGACCAAATCTGGCTCATCATCTGTTTTTGTATTGCACAAGGGCCTAGAAATGGTTTTTATGTTTGTAAAAGGTTGAAAAAAAGTAAAAATAATAGTATTTCATAATATGTAAAAATTGCATGAAATTCAAATTTCCATAACGAAGTTTTTTAGAATACAGTTACATTCTTTTTTTTTTTGGAGAGGTTTTTGCTATAGGGCATGTGCACTTGCCAGAAAGATAGAGACAGAGACAGAAAGCGAGAAATCACCCCCTGGGGGGATGGCCACGGCACCATCCCTTCTCCTCCTTTCTCCTCTTGGGATCTTAGGCCTGCACGCACATGCACCCGGCGTGAGTTTCAGCCACCGGGTCCGGGACTCGAAACACGGTCTACTACATGGGAGTCCAGCAACATAGCCATTACGATAACTGCGGGTCCCCAGAATACAGTTACATTATTTTACGCATTGTTTACGGCTACTTTCATGCCACAGTGCCAGAGTTGAGTAGTTAGAGACTATTTGGCCCACACAACCTAATATATTTACTAGCTGGCTAAAGGAATTATTGTTACACTCAATAACAAGAATGCATCTCTGAGTCATAATGTGGATGGAAACAAGGAGAGAAAACATGTTATGTTGATTGCATTCAAATGAAGTTCAAGAATATACAAAACTACTG